TGACTGGAAGGTTTATCAGGTTGATTGGGATGTATTCAACTTTTCAATGCATTATTCACCACATGAACATTTCTCATCTTCAAATTGAAAAGAGTTGGGCATTTCACATAATAGCATCAAATGTGGTATAACAACTGCCTAAATTAGACAAAACACTTCTCAACGTTTCGACCTGAAGTCCTTTGTCTGGAGAGTTAGAATGAAAGTAAATAGGGGAGAATACATGTTTTGTATGGGGGCAAAACACGTGATAAAAATGGGCCAATAGAAAACAAAAAATCAAAACAACGCCTGACTCTAGGCTAAGAATAGCCCGCGATGAGGGAAGCCTGATCAGCAACGAAAACATATTACAACCATTGAGGCATTGACATGTATAATTATACAAATGTATATGTCAATGATTACAACAGCTTTGATGTAAACAAAGAAATGGAAGTCATATCAAGACTGTGGATGAGTCGCATTTCTTGTCGTTTACGGCTATAGTTAGTCCCGGAAATGGGACAGAGCCACAGAGGGTTCTAATTTTCATGTCCGTGATTACCAGAGGTGAAGTGTCTGGCAACAGCCTTGGTGTTATCGTGGTTGTTAACCGACCTACGGTGTTCACCAAACCTTACCCTTAATCGCTTTCAAGATTTGAAAAAATACTTTTGTATCAGTGTTAGTCGTGTTTTTAGAACCGGAAGAGTATAAATGATTTTATGTCATCAACACGGCGAGGTCGTCACAGTCACAGACATGCGTGTAACTGTCAGTGCTTGCCACAACACAGCGACGCTTTGTCTGTCGTTTTGTCTGCTTTGGCTGTTTGTTCACTGAAATAAAATTTCAGTGAATTTTGTTTTTTTGTTGCCTTCAACTGTTCTTAAAGTGAGATTTCATGCGTTTGAGATCTTCTTTGATTTATGATTCCTCATTGCGATAACCAGAAACTGATTTTTCGCGCATGATTTTAATCAGTGGGAAAGAACGAGAAATAATCAGTGGGAAAATAACGAGAAATAATAACAAGAAATAACGAGAAATAATCAGTGGGAAAACGAGCCCGTAGGGCGAGTTTTTCCACGTTATTTCGAGTTCTCCCAAACTCCCACAAGTGTTTCTATAACTGTATAGAAACACAGGAAAAAATGTTTTCTATTTCTTTTATAATATAACTTAATAAAAAGATTTTGTACAAATATTATAATTCGATTCAATTACAAATTCTCATTACATCGCTTCGCTTGTCAAGTTCGGCGGGAAAATTCCCGTGTTTCTATACAGTTATAGAAACACGCTTCTCGACCAATCAGCACGTGCGTACTATAAATGTTATATTATAAAATATGATGTTACCGACCTTCCTATGCCATTGGAGTCATATCCTGCAGCAACAAATTTTCAGACTACAGTTTAAAGTGTATATGAAATGAAAATTTCGATATCGGGTTTTTTGCATTTTCTAAAAAATTCGTGTTTTCCGATCATAAATATACCGACCTTGTTGAAAAATTCGGACTAGAAGTTTGTAAATACCAGAGGCCGGTTGTATGAAAGCCGGATAGAGCTATCCACCGGATAGTGTTTTTTTCAATCGCTTCAAAATCGCCCGTTATTTGCCACAACTTTGATTAAATCTCAGTATTCCTAAATCGAGGATCCTCTTTAATAATTGTTGCTTTCAAGCTGAAATTTTATCGCTTTTCGAGCATTTTTAGAACGGTTGAAAAAATCACTATTCGGTGGATAGCGCTATCCGGCTTTCATACAACCGGCCCCAGAACTGTTGCCAGAAAGCTAAGGAAAGAGTGCATATTGCATGGTAGGCATTCAGGCAATTCAGACTCATAACATTTTTATTGTTCAATTACATTTGGTGTAGTAGTGCAGCTAAGCTGTGTTGAGTACACGCGTAGAAACGCTCAGGTTGATTCAATATTGATATGAACAGGATGGAACAATGTTGTGCTGCCCACATTGTTCAGAGTTGTCATCAATATTGAACAATATTGTTGACACTGAATCGGGTGTAACAATATTGTTCAATGTTGATAACAACTCTGAACAATGTGGGCAGCACAACATTGTTCCATCCTGTTCATATTAACTTGCATCAACCTGAGCTTTTTCAGGCGTGTATATAATAGTATTCAGTACAGCGGTAATACTCCACAAAGTTATCTATAAATATATCGTCAAATTATGTGTTGAACTGAAATAAAGCCTTTGGTCCTATAATTATATGTATTCTAATTTCTAGCGCGATTGAAGAAATCATGCACTATCCGTTGCATAGGGCTATCCAGCTTTCATGGGCTTGAAATTGACCGTTGTTCGGTATGACTTTGATTAAACTTTAGTATACACAAATTTGGGATCCTCTTTAATAATATTTAGCCCCAAAGCTGTACTTTTGATGCTTTTTCAGCATTTTTAGAACGGTTGAAAAAATAACAAACCGGTGGATAGCGCTCTCCAGCTTTCGTACATGCGATGGTGACTTTCGTCTAACGATCCACTTGCATTTCAATCATCAAAGTTAAATTCCTAAACATTACATAATCGTATTGCTGTGATGGCATTAATTGAACGTGAGCCTAGTTCATTTTCATCCTTGAAAACTTTAGCAAATACTTATTACGAGCAATTCCTATTCCTTATTCAAATTATAGAATCAAAATGCCCAGGGTATAGAGGAGTGAAGTTCTGTAATGTTCACTAATGAGAAAAATAACATGCCTTACTTTATTTTGTGACTTTCACTCTCATTTTTCAAGAAGTTATGATTCTTATTATAAAATGTCGATATTAATTTTGTTTTGTCTCCTTAAAATTGCCACGATACGAGGCTGAAACAGATGATGTTGGTTATATATACGGGAGTAAAGTTCTGTGATGTTTCTGTGATGTATACAGTTATAGAAACACGCGTGGGAGTTTGGGAGAACGAGAAATAATGAGATGAGTGGGTTTTCCACTTTATATTATTTATCTGCGAAATATCTTAAAAACAACCTTAAAAATCAAAACTTTTTCATGATTCCAAGATGCAACGGCAACAGATTTAAGAAAACTTATATTATAACAAATCTTAGAATTAAGAATTATCAAAATTTGCTAAATTTTAATGTTTTTTTTCTATGACCGAACCGAATCTATAGTTAGTTTTTATATAAACACAGTTAAACTAATAATTTTCTTGTATGATTGCATGGCGACTTTAGTAATTATAATAACTTGTAGGTACACCACGTAAGTATTAAATACTGCAAAGCTTTCGGTCCGTTAACCCGGACCTTCATCAGTGCAATTACTTGAATACACGTTTGCGCGTCACTTAAATATCATGTTAGTCGTGATAACATCATGTAGTTAATTCTAAAGAATTTGTTACGAATATGCAAGATGTTAGATTAAAAGAAATATCAAAAGAAATAATTAAAAAAATAATTAAAAGAAATATATTTACATAAGAAATTCATAGAACATGCTATGAATTAAAAGAAATAATAAAATATGAATAATTAAAAGAAATAATTAAAAGAAATATATTTACATAAGAAATTCATAGAACATGCTATGAATGAACAGCAAAGACATGCTATGAATTAAAATAAATATATATATATATATATATATATATATATATATATATATATATATATATATATATATATATATCATGTTAGTCGTGATAACATCATGTAGTTAATTCTAAAGAATTTGTTACGAATATGCAAGATGTTAGATTAAAAGAAATATCAAAAGAAATAATTAAAAGAAATAATTAAAAGAAATATATTTACATAAGAAATTCATAGAACATGCTATGAATTAAAAGAAATAATAAAATATGAATAATTAAAAGAAATAATTAAAAGAAATATATTTACATAAGAAATTCATAGAACATGCTATGAATGAACAGCAAAGACAGAGGCAAGACACGGAATATCTATCCTCTGTCTGTTTACCATATATTGGCCCAGCTTCATATAAAATCGTTAGGATTTTAAAAGAAGTTGGAATACAAGTTTACCATTCTAGCAATAACAAATTGTTTCGCGCTCTTTACACACACAAGGATGGCGTCGATGAACAACAGAAACCTGGTGTGTACCGCATTCCATGTGAATGTGGTTTGGTTTACATTGGAGAGACCGGTAGAAATCTCTCAATACGTCTTAAAGAACATAAGACGAACTGCGAGAAAGGTAAACTGGATAAGTCTGCAGTAGCTCACCATGCATGGACTTATGATCATCGCATTAAATGGAACGATGCTACCATTTTAGCAAACGATAAGTTTACTGTCTCTCGTAAAATGAGAGAATCTATTGAAATTTATAAACATCAAACTATCGTCCAAGAGGGAAAGCCACTTAATAGTACGTGGCGTGCTCTTTTCGGTGTCTCTTAGTCAAATACTTGTCTAGGGCGCGCGCATTAAATAGAACTTAATTAAATGAAACCGTTTAATTAATAGCGCGAGCAAACTAATCACGACTAACATGATATTTAAGTGACGCGCAAACGTGTATTCAAGTAATTGCACTGATGAAGGTCCGGGTTAACGGACCGAAAGCTTTGCAGTATTTAATACTTACGTGGTGTACCTACAAGTTATTATAATTACAGTTAAACTAGTTATTAAAACATTTGCTATAAGTTATAGATACATTCTTAATGATACCTACTTTCTATTTCTTTGCGAAAATCATGTGTATTTCAGCTTTAAGGCTGTGAAATGATTTGTTTTAGTAAACAGTAATAATAATATTCATTCTATCAAACAAAATTGAGGGTTTGTATACGATCTGAAATATAAATACGGTCTCCCGCTTCGTGGTCGTGCGATTTTTTCAATGACGCATGAGCACTCCACTCAGTGCAATTACCATTATAAATACGCATCCCACCTGACAATCACATGACATTCTAGCCGCTGATTGGGTGGGTTAAAGTTACAATCAGAATTTGTTCTTTCTAGGTTTAAATCTACATTCCAGTCCATCTGTCCGTTATCCTTCCTGAGAATTTTGACCATGTAGTGGAATCATCGCTTTGAAGATTTGAGAAGGTACGTTTGTGTCATTGTTGGTTCGAATAATAACAGTATGAGTGTCTATTGTATTCTATTGAGTGGCATAGTACAGAGCTGTGACGTCATTACGTTCTTCGAATATTAACAGTATGAGTGTCTATTGTATTCTATTGAGTGGCACAGTACAGAGCTGTGACGTCATTACGTTCTTCGAATATTAACAGTATGAGTGTCTATTGTATTCTATTGAGTGGCATAGTACAGAGCTGTGACGTCATTACGTTCTTCGAATATTAACAGTACGAGTGTCTATTGTATTCTATTGAATGGCATAGTACAAAGCTATGACGTCATTACGTTCTTCGAATATTAACAGTATGAGTGTCTATTGTATTCTATTGAGTGGCATAGTACAGAGCTGTGACGTCATTACGTTCTTCGAATATTAACAGTATGAGTGTCTATTGTATTCTATTGAGTGGCATAGTACAGAGCTGTGACGTCATTACGTTCTTCGAATATTAACAGTATGAGTGTCTATTGTATTCTATTGAGTGACACAGTACAGAACTGTGACGTCATTACGTTCTTCGAATATTAACAGTATGAGTGTCTATTGTATTCTATTGAGTGGCATAGTACAGAGCTGTAACGTCATTACTTTCTTCGAATATTAACAGTACGAGTGTCTATTGTATTCTATTGAATGGCATAGTACAGAGCTATGACGTCATTACGTTCTTCGAATATTAACAGTATGAGTGTCTATTGTATTCTATTGAGTGGCATAGTACAGAGCTGTGACGTCATTACGTTCTTCGAATATTAACAGTATGAGTGTCTATTGTATTCTATTGAGTGGCATAGTACAGAGCTGTGACGTCTTTACGTTCTTCGAATATTAACAATATGAGTGTCTATTGTATTCTATTGAGTGGCACAGTACACAGCTGTGACGTCATTACGTTCTTCGAATATTAACAGTATGAGTGTCTATTGTATTCTATTGAGTGGCATAGTACAGAGCTGTGACGTCATTACGTTCTTCGAATATTAACAATATGAGTGTCTATTGTATTCTATTGAGTGGCATAGTACAGAGCTGTGACGTCATTACGTTCTTCGAATATTAACAGTTTAAGTGTCTATTGTATTCTATTGAGTGGTATAGTACAGAGCTGTGACGTCATTACGTTCTTCGAATATTAACAGTTTAAGTGTCTATTGTATTCTATTGAGTGGCACAGTACAGAGCTGTGACGTCATTACGTTCTTCGAATATTAACAGTATGAGTGTCTATTGTATTCTATTGAGTGGCACAGTACAGAGCTGTGACGTCATGTTAAATAAACTGGTAACCAATATAGAAATAATTCATAACACGATTGCAAGGCTCAGGGGCTAAAACCTGACAATAATCAAACACTAAACAGCAAATAAGGCAGGTTAGTTGTTCTGAGACTAAGGATCGATCAATACATTTTTATTTTAACAGACTCGATCCTTATATTTTAACAGACTCGATGCTTATATTTTAACAGACTCGATACCTGAGTGCCTAACATTACTGCATAGACTTACGAAAATATAATAATTCAGCTTAACTGGTCACATGCTGAAGAAACACAGCCACTAAAATAAATGATCGAGAGTTTGCTGAAACAGCTTTTCAAAATTATCGTTTGAACTAAATTGAAATTTTAAAAGGCTTGAACGACAATCGGTGATGAAAAAATCGAGTAGCAATAGATCTTAAATTCAAGAGATATTTTCATAAATTATTTGACATCAAAATACATTTAGATCATACTATGTCTATAATAAATCAGAACAGGCTTTCAAAATTTATAATGTAAAAAAAATCCTATTTCCGCACACAAATAAGGCAACGGAATGTTTATGGAAATTCTAAAATTAAGCTCATGTGAGTTTGTCATATGGGTGGTAGCAAGTCAGAAACGTTACTCCTGCAAAAAAAATATTTTTACAAGAAATCCCTTCGTTCAACAAAATTAGGTTCCTTACGACTTTCTTTTATGAAAAATTGTCATAAAATATGATAAACTCAACCTCGTCCCATTTTTCTCCTCGATGTTGCTTATATAATTAATACAACCATTTTGTTACAGTAATTAACCCTGTCTAATGCCATGGCTTCTGGCGAACTGAAAGAAAAAGCAAATTTTACAAGACTCAGTAGACTTTTAATTGACAAAGGTACTGAGGCTTTGAGAAATACATTTGATACCATCCATCCACCTGTTAGTCTACCCAGAGTACTGGCTGCAAACAAAACATCTCTTCAAAAGTTAAAACCTCGAGTTATTAATAATTCCCAGTGGGATTTACTGTTTCCTCCGTCTGGCAACCCACCAGATTCCAAAACCTTTGATGTCACATTACTCACAGTTCTATTCCGGAACATTTGTGGTTTTCCATCAACGGGATGGAGTGTAATGCCTCCTGATACAGATAGGTCAATGCAAGCGAATATCACAAGAATCAAGTGTTACAGAAATGAAGTTATTGCACATGTAACAACAACTCGAGTTGACAATTCAAAATTTGAGTCTTTATGGAAGAAAATTTCCCAGGTGATAGTAGAATTGGGCGTTTCACAGAGTGATGTCAATGATTTAGAAAAATGTCCTCTTGGGCCTGAAGAAGTAGTATATGTGCAAAACCTTAAAGATTGGAAACTGCACGAAGATGAGTGTATTAAATTGCTTAAAGCAATTGAAGCTGGTGTAAATAATGTAACACAACTCGCTGAAGAAACGCGCGTTGCAGTAAATGAAACGCACGATGCAGTAAATGAAACGCGCGATGCAGTAAATGAAACGCACGATGCAGTAAATGAAACGCACGATGCAGTAAATGAAACGCGCGATGTAGTAAATGAAACGCACGATGCAGTAAATGAAACGCGCGATGCAGTAAATGAAACGCACGATGCAGTAAATGAAACGCGCGATGTAGTAAATGAAACGCACGATGCAGTAAATGAAACGCGCTATGCAGTTAATGAAATGCACGATGTAGTAAATGAAACGCGCGATGCAGTAAATGAAACGCACGATGCAGTAAATGAAACGCACGATGCAGTAATTGAAATCCGCCATTCTTTGGCGAAGCGTACGCTATCAATGCCCGGGTACACCAATCCTGAAAAAAGATTTCGCATGGAAAATGATGAAGATTTATTGCGAAAACTTGCTAAGCATAATTTCAAGAATAAAATTCAAAGAAAAGTGAAATCTTTCCTACCTGGAACAAGAGAGTGGTTGTTAAAAGAAGTTGACGAGTGGTTTTGTAGCAGTGAGAGTGACTCAAGAATAAAGTTAATAACAGCTGGACCAGGATTTGGTAAAAGCGTGTTTGCCGCTAAAATCTGTGAAGATTTTGGGAAGAATGGAAAGCTCGTTGCTTGTCACTTTTGTGATTTCAGCAATTCAAACCTAAGAGATCCTATGGCGATGTTGCAATCTCTCGCAAGTCAGATGTGCAAGAGCGTCCCTGGTTTTAAACAGGAGCTTCTTGATCAGTTAAAGCGACCTCATCAAGTTCAAAACCTGAAAGATGCCTTTCTAATATATTTGCAAAATCCCCTAGATGAATTGGAAATAAAAGAGCCACGTTTAGTCGTGATCGATGGCTTGGATGAAAGTGCTGCTGATAATAAGAATGAAATTGCGCATTTGATTGCTGAATATTTTCCTGAGCTTCCAGACTACATCAAAATCTTGGTGACGAGCAGGCCAGAGATTTCCGTTGCTGATCTAAGACTAAGAGACGATCAAAAGACAGACATTTCCAATGTTCATGACAACAATAACTTAGATCTTGAACTTTATTTTAAAGAATGTTTTCCAAGTTTAGTCGGCAGGGAAATGTATCGTTGGGAGATGAGCTTTGATTTCTATAAGGATCATCCATATCTTTACCGCGTTTTGCGAAATAAAACTATTAGTTTACCTTCCATTTTTGTTGCCAAATGCCAGGGCTCATTTCTCTATGCATATCACTTTCAATCTGGGCTAAGGGCTCGTTATGATCTTGAAAATATAACAAATAATGACGTCATGAAGTTTCTCCCAGAAGGACTGAATTCTTTTTACCAAGGATATTTCAAACGCCTTGAAGACGAGCTTAGCGACATAAAACATGAAAAGTTTGATGTGTTGAAAATTTTGGAAATGCTTGCTGCTTCCGAAGGACCTCTTCCCCTCACTTTCGTCGCTCAGGCTTTTGGTTTAGCTCCAGATTGTCGCGAAACGAAAGACATCATCAACAAAATTAATGAAACCGTATCGTGCTTGTTGTACGTTTCAGATGACATGTTAACCGTTTTTCACAAATCCGTTATTGATTGGCTTCTAGCAGAGGGCTACAGAGATCACCAGTATACTGTCAAGGTCGATGATGGACATAGATCGCTTTGGCTTTTATGCGAAAAGGATTTTGAGGAAATTGTGGAAAGTGTTCGCTCAGGACTTGAGGTGAAGTTTACTAATGATGTGGAATACGCTCTGAAACATGGTTTAAAACATCTAGAAAAATGTGAAATGGAGGAAGGTGTCTTTTGGTCAATTGATGTTATTATCGTATGTTATATGCTAACTGTAGTCTATTCATATGAATTGCAGCGTTTCTGGCTCAAATTACTCCAAAGTTCTTGGATTAAAAACGAAGATTTACGTGCCCGTATTTCGTACCATGTCATTGAAGTTGGCTCTTTTGATCTTGGCGTGGATCCGGCCATGTGGCTGTATTACAAACATTCAAAACAAGTTATTTCGACAGTATATTCACAATGTTTCTTACAAGCGGTTCTTACACATTCTCCAGAAGGTTATTTCAGCGATGATGAGAAGAAAATCGCGGAGACGCTACTATCAAACGTTTCACCTTTTGTCGAGTTGAATTCTTACGAAGTTTCGGTTTTGCCGCGAGCAGTCTGGAAACACAGTGACTTTCCTCATATTACAGATTTTGCTTTATCTAACGATGAGAAAAGTGTCGCAGTTGTAAGAGGGAATTTTATCCATGTGCTATCCCTACCAACTTTAGTTGAAATTATGAGTTATTCAACAAAATTGGAAGAAAATTCATGCTGCACATTTTCTCCAGACGATTCGCTCATATTATTTGGAAAACTGGAAATGGCGTTTAACATTGCTGGAAGAAAGGAAGTTCCATTTTTCCCTGGAAATGAAGAGACGTTCCTGTCCTGTGCATTTTCCCCTAACGGCAAAAGACTGGTGACTAGCGACGGTTCAAACACCATTAAACTATGGGACATTGCTAAACAAAAATTGCTGTCGTCGCTTTGTGCTGGATTTTCTGTTCGTCGGTGTTCTTTTAGCATCACTGGGGTATTTATTATTGCAAATTCAGAATCTTCATCTTATCTGGGTTATTCGTTTTGTGTTTGGAACGCCATCACATTGCAAAGAAGTGATAAGGGAAAATTATCTCATGGGGAAAGGGAGAAACCAGTTGTGTTAAAGAGAAGGAAATGTGAACGATGTTTTCAGCGGGGATTTGAGCAACCAAATTTTAAACACTTAGAAATAAGGACTGAAAATAATACGATTTCGTGTCCGTGGATCTGCAAATGTGAGGAGTGTATTATTTATCCGAATGAATATTGTTATTCGAGTGTCACAGAAAGTATTCCTTTGACTGTGATTGCTGCTTGGAACTATCTTGCTTCAGCTCCTCGACAGATTTTTTTTAATCAATTCAAAATGACACTTTTAGGAGATAATCTGTGGCTCTATTCAGATACTGAAAAACGAATTGTCTTTAAGACATTAGCTCCTAAACAAGAGCAATCCTGTCTGTCACAGCCAACGGAAGTTTATTCGAGTTCGTTTTCTCCTGACGGCTCTCGACTTGCATCCTGCAACTCAGATGGATATATCAACGTATGGAATGTCTATACCAGCCAAGTTGAACAACGTTTCAAAAGCAGTCAATGCTGGTCAAGGTTTTTATGCTAGTGGTCGGAAGATTTCTTGTTTGTGATTAGTGAATTTAACAGGATTCCCAAATTAACGCGATACCAGGTAGATGACAATCTAGAGATCTTGTTTACTCACAGTCAGGACGTGGCGCTAGACGACTTGTCTGATTTCAGTCATTCAGATCTGATTGGTTTTTCTGATCAGCTTGGGTCTCGAAAGGAAGGAACCTGTGAAAGTTCTCGATGTCAGAGATGTTGATGGTCCTGTAATGATCAATTTGCCTGGAATTGAGCGTATGATGAAAGTGGAAATCTCGCCTGGTAGTGTCTTTATCTCTGGTTGTAATGAGAATAAATGTTATATTTGGAAAAGAAATACCGAAAAACCAACTTCGTATGAAGTCTTTTATCACCGTTACGTTGGAGGGTCTGACAGATTGCCTTATGTCGTAATTTTCAGTAATGATTCCAGTGTCGCAATAGTCATGCAGAGGAGTTCTGATGAGAGTCAGATAATTGATCTGGACACTGGTGATTCTCAAAATTTAACTCCTGCATTACAACCCTTTTTTTTTCTTAGGACATTTTGTTTTTACAAGAGTAGAATTGTACTAGCTTTATCTGATCGCCTGATAACATTTCATGACTTGGACTCTGGCGCGATTCTCAACACTTCCTATCAACCATACTTGAAGGCTTTTTGGCGAAGCGAAACAATTCAACTTTCCCCAAAAGAGGACGTGCTGGCTTTTCCTGACAGGAAAGGTGATATGGTGTTTCTTCGACTGTCTATTCCACCAGATCTTTCATTGGACGATATCAAGCGAAGTGTAGTTGCTTCGTGTTATGATATTAAGCGAGGTGCAGTACGCAATCCTTTCTTTAACCGGAACAAATTCGTCTTGCGGAAAAAGGTTTAGACTGCTTCTAGGAAAATCTACACAAAACTGTATATTTTGTTACATGTTGGTTTTCCCACAGGTTGTTTATACCAATTAAATGCGAATATCTTTGTTCTTAAAAATACCTGATATGAACACGTTCACACGAGGACAAAAACCAATAGGAGAAGACTTAGTTGATAAAGCCTTTGTTATGAACGACAGATGTTTTGGAATTGATTTTTCAGTTAGGATATTTTATAATGGATTTAGCGAACAGTAACATGAAAAACTATCATCAAGAACATTGTTTTTGGGCAGCGGCTAGACTTTGCTTGGAGCTGGTCTAGAATGGAGAAGTAAGACACCTCCTTCCCTCCGTTTGTCTGGGAGTTCATTTTGGGCAAGTGATAGCACTCCCTTGCCTCCCTAACTGGGGTTACAGTTTGTTAAACAAAACGAAGATGATATCTTGAATACATCTGCAAGAAACAAGTCTTTTAACATTGTCACTGATGCCAATGGTGTTGTTCTAGATATTCATTATAGTAGGGATGATTGCAGTCATGTTGGTGGTGATAGTTCTCATCTATGATGTTGGTGATGGTGCCGGTCTATACGATGGTGCTGATGGTAATTGTGCTGGTTATGAAATAATGGTAGTAATTATAGAAATTAATAGTAACTGTATTATGGTCAAAACGTCTGATGCTGATGAAAAAGAAAGATATCGGAAATACAAGAAGTATTTACATTACAGGGACCTTTTTTAGCTGTGAAGGAAGATATTTAAAGTCTCGAGCGAGAAAATTGTAAAAACTTGCATGAAATGTGAATAATAATATGTTCAAGAAATCTGATGTTCATGAAAAAAAAGGTCACGAAACAACACAACAATATGTCTTAGGCGTGTTTCAAAAGTCGTGTTTTGGTTTTTAATGCGTTCGACACTTGAGAAGCACGATGTTTAAAACAGGCCATAAAAAAACCTTGTAGCGTATCTCATTCTTTCCTGTGCACTCATATTATCACTTTGAAACAAAGGAATACGTTACGGTTCGCTACGATACGGTTAAAGAGGAAAACAGGCCCCATTTAAGCACAATACCGGGTTCACTTGTCACGGATATCTTTGTTTGCCTTTAAGGGGAAGTGGCTAGTAGCAAATGCTTACTATAGTTTGATAGATTTAGTATATTTATTTCGACATCTGACATTGAATTGGTTTACTGCCTTTTAAAAGCGGCAAAATTTGACCCACCCCGAAAAGAATCCGGCAAAGTGTGAAATGGGGCCTTGTAGAAAGTGCCTGGGGCACACAGATACATATCTGCTTAATATTTAATCATTGGCTATTGCCAGCATTATTGTAATTTGTGTAGATTTGTAATTTTGTAAACCGTTAACCATTTTATTACATATTTCACTCAGTTGTTAAATTTTCTACATTTCTATATCTGTGGTTGTTAACATTCTTATATTACGCGCAGTCAATGAGTGTAAAAGTTTTTTGGTGTGATATCATCTTGGCGAAATATTACCTTGGAGGTAATTACACCAAGAACCAGGGTTGCCAGATTGGCTGAATAAATTACCTGAATCATTATTACCTTTGAGAAAATAAAGGAAAGAAAACATGAAAACAAAAAGATTAAATAAGGGATATTAATAACTGCAAGGACTTTTCTAGGTAATCGTTAGGTGGAGTGTGTGTTGTGTGTGGGAAGGGGGGGGGGGGGCTGAACCAAATAGTCCCAACTAACTAGAAATTGATTTGCAGGTGCGGGAGTAGTGTGGGGTTTGGAGCACCTTCCCCAAGAAATGTTTTTGTATTTCTGAATCTCTTTGACTTGATTTCCTGCATTTTGGGAGACACTCGCTGACGAATTCTTTCCGGTAGAGCGACGTTTGAGGGAGGTTTGTCAGAATGTAATTTCTTTCTCCTGAACAAGACGCCTGTTCTGGCGTTAACTCCGGCGTGCCGCGCACGTGCCAGTCTTCAATATAAAGCTTCTGAACATAAACAATACAGTTCATGCTCATTTAGATGCCTTGCCGGCGAACCTAAATGTTGTTCGATCGCGAAATTCAGAAGCACATCGTACTTTAAAAAGTGTAGAAGTTCAATTGTTCAAAAATGTAAATAAACCGCATGATACATTTACTTTGTCTTACACATTGCCTTTGGAATTCGCGCTTATATAGTTATAAGTACGAACATGCGGTGACATTTCAACGCTCATTCATCAATAGATCAACCAGAACATGGAACATTCTGCCTGATGAACTAAGACATCAATCTTTAAGCTTGGTCAATTTTAAAACTTTGTTAATGGATTATTACCGTACTGCTTTAAATCTAGTCTATGAACATAATAATCCACGGACATGGAGATCCATTTGCCTAAAATGTAACAAGGCTCGAGTCCTGGCTAGACCGATCACTTGTTGTTATTAGAAAGCCGGGATTTGGCTTTCACCGCCACTGTCGCTGCCTCTTGCTGACCTTGTGTGTATAATTTATATTGGTTGGTTCAAATCCTACGGTGGCAGTGTCGGTGGAATTTGAATCTTATATACGTTTTGTTTTCCCTGTTTTATTTTGTTTCGCTCTGCTTTGTTTTGTCTCGTTTCGTTGTTTCGTTCTGTCTTGTTGTATCGTATGGTTGCGTTTCCTGGTAAATGTACTTTGTTTTTTGTAAGGGCCCACTGTAATTGGTGTACACTGTTGTGGTATCCCTGCCAATTGATTGTTACAATTGGCGAATTTCAACAAATAAATAATTAAATAAATAAATAATAAATCTTCAATCCTGTGCAAACTGCGACGTGTCAACACGACCACATCTTGTTAAACGGCGAAATAGCAGCGATATTATTAAAATAAGACCAGAATCTACATGTATTAAATATATTCTTACCCCAATTAAATCCAAACTTAATCGAACAGCATCAAAAGAACGGTTTATTTGTTCCTCTTGGAGGAATTGCCGTATCGTGCGAGCGAAATCAAATAGCGCATCGGAAAATTAGATTTCGAGCTGTGCACCACAACTTTTGGAAGACAAAACTTTGACGTAGATAAATACGGTCACATACACATTTCAAATACTAGTATATTTCGCGCCAAACGAAAAATAAAAAAAAACCCAAACCAAACCAAGGCGAATTTTCAACTACGCCGCTCACGCCGGAGTAACAATGCGTTTATTTTTTATTGAATATCGTCACTTCAGACGATAAAAAGACAGAACGTGTAGTTTCTTCTTTCGCTTCGATAACCCTCGTTTTTATATGTCACCGACAGTCGGCGATGACAGGTGGTTGCTGGTGACGAAATTTGTTTAAAATAAGAAAGCCCTTTATTCTCCTGCATTCACCAACAATAACCATCGACCTGGCTTATAACCCTGGCGTTCTTATTAACCACCGACACATTACCAGAAATTTGGGACATTTTGCGTCCGCGTTCGTGGGCAGCGTCCGCCTCTTGAACCAAGGAATTGGTGAAAATTTCATAAAATGGCTCGATGGTATAATTATGCAATTATAATTATGCTTCAAATGTATATGGCCGGATGCTTAACACACTGAAGAATCATGAAATTTCAAACGCTGTGGGAACCGTGGCGGTAAAAAATACGAAGATATTTATGAGTTATATCGGTAGCTATATCACAACCAAAGACATTTCCAACTCCGAACTTTGCATCGTCCAAAAGGAAAGTGGTGTATTTGACCAGATTGTAGAGCATGTTTACCGATATTACTATGGTTTATATAGCCGAATCATTCAAGTTGGACTTGTATATAAATCACACTCAGGAACCTAGAGGATTTGCTAGTGAGTGAATATTTTTTGTTATAACTCTTCCTTTTTGAGCGATTTACAGAATTCGAACTCCGAACTAAGAAAAAAACACACATAGGAAGCGTAATTTAAAGTTTTGTGATTAAGCCATATTGTTTCGCATGAAATTTGGCCGCCATGTTTGTTTTTATCCGAATGCAAGACGCCATCTTGTCCCAAATTTCTGGTAATGCAGTCGGCGATGTATTGTTGATAACCAATGACCAAGAAAATTTATGGAAAATAACACAGCACTTTATTCTCCAGTGATCTCTGACAATATCCTTCGCCAATTGTCGATGACAT